TTAAACTAAGCTGGAGCCCTGACTGTGAACTAAACTGCTGGCTGTCTTCCTCTGCTTAAGGTTCATAATGGCTGAACTCATTCAAACCGAAAAGGCTTATGTGAGAGATCTCCGGGAGTGTATGGATGTAAGTAAGTTTTTTTGCTTGTTTATTTAGATTAAGTATAATCTTGCTACTTAAGTCTTACCTACTGGTAATTCTTAAAATAAATTTTCATACTTTTTGTTGTTGTGTTTTGAGTGTGTTTAAGCAGCCAGTCTCATGCTTGCACGCTTCTGTGTAGTTCTGGGCTTGTGTTTCCTTTCGCTCTTTGCAGAGATGATACAGCATTAATCCCTCATTCCATGTATCACATGACGGCCAGGCTGACATTCTCTTTGTAGAGAATTTTACAGCACTTTCACAGAAATGTGCCTAGTAATTATGACTGGCAACTAATGCTCAGTAGTTTCATGAAAATTTTTGTACCTTGTGGGGAGGGTTAATTCCAAAATTCAAAGCTGGGAGTCAGAGCTGAAAATTCTCAAGTATGAAAAGCAATTGAAGGGCTTTAAAAAAAAAAAGCCAAAACATTGTTCATGTTATTTTGTACAAGGTTCCATTCTTAAGGTGTATTTTCAGTTATACATTAGCTTGGGGTGTGTATTTACAGATGTCAGGAATAGCTGTTTCTTGGAAATCTGGTGTCAGGTTTTGTCTAATGTCTGTTTTCCCCCTTGCCAGACCTACCTGTGGGAAATGACCAGTGGTGTGGAGGAGATCCCACCTGGTATTGTAAACAAAGAGCTCATTATCTTCGGGAACATGCAGGAAATATATGAATTTCATAATAAGTGAGTAGCTTTATCTTTGGGGAGCTGATTGTTCTTGAAGTCTACATACTGCACTGGGGTTTCATAACAAGAAATAGCAGTTTCCAGTTGAAGTAAGCATAGATTTCAGTGATTTTATTGAAACTTCAGTGAAGCCTGGCAGGCTTTCTTCAAGGAAACCAGCCTTCTAGAGACTATTTTAATCCAGACTCAACTTTATATTTGTACTTACTTTCTGTGGAAATAAGGCTAAGAAAACTTAGAAACTGTTTTAGTGGGAACCCTAACTTCTCCAAGCTGTGTCATTAGCTGCTGCTTAGAGTTAAAAGAAAGAGGGGTTCTCCATGGGCTACTGCTGCCATTTGGTCTTTCCTAAGAAGATAAGAGAAGGACCTGAGACAGGACAGATATATGGTCTGACCAGAATAAAATGCTCTCTCAGCCNAAGTTTTTTTGTGGGAGAGAGTTCTAAAATGGAACAGTATTAAGACACCTCTGTGAAAGTGACGGCCTGATTAGTGCCCTGTTCTCTGCACGTCCTGAGAGAGCAGGAGCGAAGGTGTGATGTGGACGAGCTGCTGTGGGGATTTGGTTTGAGCGTCTGCGTGGGGAGACCCTTCGCCATATGTGCTTCAGGAAAATCAAAATCTCAGAGGACTGCTGTCCTAAAAGAGCTTTGCGTCTAACTGGGCACATAAACAAATGTGCATAAAGCGGGAAGGGAGCCAGTAGGTACTCGGAGGAGGAGGGTCAAGGACCGTAGAGAGAACACTGAGTGGACATGTATTCATCCCCAGGACTTCATTCACCCAACAGGCTTTTACTGAGCATCCGCCAGATGAAGACATTGTTGAAAGAAAGTCTAGATTTTTTCTTTGAGGTTATAAAATGCCATTCTTTGTGGAACAGCTGAGGAAAGATCACTAGTTTAGAACCAGGGAGATGAATTGGATGGGTTTGGGGCTTCTGTCACCAGCAGCTTTTTTTCCCCCTGACCAGAGCTCAGAGTTTTGTAGGCAAGTTGCCACTATGTTTCTGGTTTCTGGCAGTTGGGTTCATTTGCTTCACAATACTTTCCTGTTGTTTTTTTTGCAGCAAACCAAAGAGAGAGTGAAGCTATTGATACAGCTGGCTGATGGCTTTTGTGAAAAGGGGCATGCCCATGCGGCAGAGATTAAAAAATGTGTTACTGCAGTGGATAAGAGGTACAGAGATTTCTCTCTGCGGATGGAGAAGTACAGGACCTCTTTGGAGAAAGCCCTGGGGATTTCTTCAGATTCCAACAAATCGGTAAATTGCTTTGTGCAAACTGAGTGAATCAGGTGCTCTTCCTCCTGTGCTGTGTGTTGATTTAACTAACAAAAGTTGATTGGCTCTCTTACTCCACAGAGTAAAAGTCTTCAGCTCGATATAATTCCAGCCAGTATCCCTGGGTCAGAGGTGAAACTCCGTGATGCTGCGCATGAACTTAACGAAGAAAAGCGGAAATCTGCCCGCAGGAAAGAGTAAGCCAGTCATTAAGAACCTGCCAGGATTCACTGAAAAAGTGGAGGAAATGTCACTTGGACAAACGTGCTTCTGTGTGTGCTTTGGAACCAATTGGCACTTGTACTTTCTGTTCTGACTGTACCCTGAGCGCAGACTCCACTGTGTCCACTGTCTCCTTGTCACTGGTTCAGTGCACTGTCTTGTTTTTACCCCCTGGCCCCATTTCATATGGCACTGGCAAATGGTTCTAGTGCCATCTGTCATCAGTAGGTCATGAGTAGTCATACTAAGGAGATTTCAGTAATACAAGCAGAGGTGTTTAAAAGTTGCCTACTAGTTAATTCTCCTAGATAATTAATAAAGACAAAAGATGGCCTAAACCCTTGGCTCTTAGTCAAGGGCAGTTTTGTCCCCCAGGGGACGTTTGACAAAGTGTGGAGATATTTTTGGTTGTCATACAGCGGGAGGGGGTGCTGCTGGCATCTAGTGGGTGGAGGCCTAGCCTTGCACAGGACAGCCCCACGGCAAAGCATTAAACCCTGATGTGTAGGTACCTCAACAAAATTTTTTCCAAAAGGCATTTCCTTTGAATTGGTGGTTGGTTACTATTACTGTCCCATTTATTCTCGATTGAGTTCTCCAAAAGACATTATTAACTAATGCTTTTAAAATCCCCTTATTCTTTCATAAACTATAAAAACAGATAATTAAACTAAGCTGGAGCCCTGACTGTGAACTAAACTGCTGGCTGTCTTCCTCTGCTTAAGGTTCATAATGGCTGAACTCATTCAAACCGAAAAGGCTTATGTGAGAGATCTCCGGGAGTGTATGGATGTAAGTAAGTTTTTTTGCTTGTTTATTTAGATTAAGTATAATCTTGCTACTTAAGTCTTACCTACTGGTAATTCTTAAAATAAATTTTCATACTTTTTGTTGTTGTGTTTTGAGTGTGTTTAAGCAGCCAGTCTCATGCTTGCACGCTTCTGTGTAGTTCTGGGCTTGTGTTTCCTTTCGCTCTTTGCAGAGATGATACAGCATTAATCCCTCATTCCATGTATCACATGACGGCCAGGCTGACATTCTCTTTGTAGAGAATTTTACAGCACTTTCACAGAAATGTGCCTAGTAATTATGACTGGCAACTAATGCTCAGTAGTTTCATGAAAATTTTTGTACCTTGTGGGGAGGGTTAATTCCAAAATTCAAAGCTGGGAGTCAGAGCTGAAAATTCTCAAGTATGAAAAGCAATTGAAGGGCTTTAAAAAAAAAAGCCAAAACATTGTTCATGTTATTTTGTACAAGGTTCCATTCTTAAGGTGTATTTTCAGTTATACATTAGCTTGGGGTGTGTATTTACAGATGTCAGGAATAGCTGTTTCTTGGAAATCTGGTGTCAGGTTTTGTCTAATGTCTGTTTTCCCCCTTGCCAGACCTACCTGTGGGAAATGACCAGTGGTGTGGAGGAGATCCCACCTGGTATTGTAAACAAAGAGCTCATTATCTTCGGGAACATGCAGGAAATATATGAATTTCATAATAAGTGAGTAGCTTTATCTTTGGGGAGCTGATTGTTCTTGAAGTCTACATACTGCACTGGGGTTTCATAACAAGAAATAGCAGTTTCCAGTTGAAGTAAGCATAGATTTCAGTGATTTTATTGAAACTTCAGTGAAGCCTGGCAGGCTTTCTTCAAGGAAACCAGCCTTCTAGAGACTATTTTAATCCAGACTCAACTTTATATTTGTACTTACTTTCTGTGGAAATAAGGCTAAGAAAACTTAGAAACTGTTTTAGTGGGAACCCTAACTTCTCCAAGCTGTGTCACTAGCTGCTGCTTAGAGTTAAAAGAAAGAGGGGTTCTCCATGGGCTACTGCTGCCATTTGGTCTTTCCTAAGAAGATAAGAGAAGGACCTGAGACAGGACAGATATATGGTCTGACCAGAATAAAATGCTCTCTCAGCCACAGGGACACATGGTTCTGTTTGTAAGATTTTTTAGAGCAGCGGGTATTCACAAGTACAGTCTGTGCAGCCCAGTCGCCTATGGAAAGATGATGCTGAGGCCAGAGCCAGAGGAGTCTTCCTCCCTCCCCTGCCTGCACCCCAAAAACACGCTAACATCTAAACAGGTCCTCCTGATTGAGTATTCACATCCCTGCATTACAGCTTTAGCTACTGAACACAGCCGGTTCCCCAGAGTAAGCTGTACAGCTAAACTTTCTATTAGAAAGTGTTTAAGGACTAAACTGGTTGGTTGTTTGAAAGTCGCAATAACTTACCCTAGTTGAAACCTACATATTTTGTTACATCTTAAAGTCTAGAGGGCATAGATTTTTCACTGCACTTGATTAAAGTGATGAGATTCAGACATTACCTGAATTCATGGCATGCTTGGCCTAATTCCTGGTATATCTCATTAGTAAGATGTTTTAAAACATCTTCATAATATGGTACAATTTTTATTCTCTGCAGCATATTCCTAAAAGAGCTGGAAAAATATGAACAGTTGCCAGAGGATGTTGGACATTGCTTTGTGACTTGGGTAATGAAACGTCAGCTGCATGTTCTCTCACATTTATGTGGTGGCTTTGAAGGAAGTTAGAGGAATATCAGTTATATCTTTCTTGTCACCATCTTCTGCTGGTGTCTGCACACAGAGTAACACACTTTGCAGCCAAGAATTACATCCTCCGACTAGTATTGATGTGGAATGTGCTTTTCAGTGGCAGTAGTTATGGTTCCAGATAGAACAGAAAGTGTGCCAGGCCTCTGCATGGCCCTGGGGATTCAGATAAACTGAGTGCCCAGCCCTGCTGGGCAGGGGGCCTCATCCAGCCTAGCAAGAAGGTATATGGGTGACCTGGGGTTCAGCCCTGTCCTCTAAGTGTGCTACCAACACCATTGTGGGAGCAGAGAGCAAGTGGCCAGCCCCAGCTGCAGGGCAGGGGAGGCTTCTGTGGGTACATAACAGCAGCAGCATGTGTTTCTTATTTTAATAGCTTTCTGTATAAAGTAGGGTTTCTTTTATTTGGGGCTTAAATTTCCTTAATCTGCACAGCTTCTTTTCTACCTAGAAATTTATCATATTTTGACTTACTACTATTTGAAAGAGATATCTTAAGTTTTTATTTTGTTTATAGGCAGACAAATTTCAGATGTATGTCACATACTGCAAAAATAAGCCTGATTCTACTCAGCTGATACTGGAGCACGCAGGGTCCTATTTTGATGTAAGTCAACAGATTGCCAATGAAGCAGCGAAATTTCTGTGTTGTATTTGGTATATATAAAAGGCAACATTACTCATAACTTTTACATAATGGTGCAGTATTTTCATTTTTATCTGTCGTGTTTATGTTGAAACGTTCTTATATTTTCTTCTGTTTTAAAAGATCCTCAAGTACTGCCAGTTGTATATAGGAAATTCACATTTTAATGTACATATATCTATGTCAGCACTTACTATTTATATATGCACGTTAATTTTTTACATATAACATTGTATGGAATAAACTGTTAAATTAAGCTTCTTCATTAAATTAAGTAACTTTTAAATTAACAATTAAATCAAACTTCTCTGCTAAATAAATTATTACATTAAGTAACTTTACATCTTTTAAAACAATTTATTTTTGCCATTTTAATTTCATGTTATTAATTTTCAAAAGTGACCTACCAGTAAAATTTTACAAATAGCATTATATGAACTGGGACCATGGGGAGGTTCATTAATTATATTCTCATTGGAGTAAATGCAGATGCAGGTCATCCTTTTTTGAAAGGTAGTGCATGAAAGACTTTGAAAGATATGTACAAAAGTCGATGGAGCCTTATGTTGTGATAGAATGCTTTTTGAGTTTGTAAAACATACTCAAATGTGTGCCAAGCACATTTTGATTAAAAGATGAGGTACTTCTGAATTTTGTGTTTAATTTGATGCCACGAGATAAGGCCCCAGGAATATTAGAATTGTTTCTGTCATTATACTTCTGTATGGCCGAGTGTGCTAATTTGATTTTCTCTAAAATTCTGGGAAATGAAAACAAATTTTAGCTTCTAGCTATGAGATGAAGCTCTGCCTGTCGAGAACCCTGTTTTAGTTATCATTCTCACAACCAGTAATTATTGCCTTTGTAAGTATGATATCTGCTCTCAGCCTAGTGCTACCTTTTCTTTCCAAAATTTCACATGACCCCAAGTCTCTGCCATTTGGTGAAAGCCAGCATCATAGCTTCGTGCAAAGTTAGAATTATTTAAGGGCTAAGCATTGAGAGCATGTGGCACATCGAGAGCATGTGGCACATTTAAACTATTTAAAAAACCCTTTCACTAAAGCATCTTTAAGGAAAAGGAAATCCTGCTTATCTAACCTAGAGATTCACTCATTACCTGCTGTTAGCATCCATTGCACAGTATGACTGCACCCCCATCAGCGGCTCATTCAACTCACTGCACTCGGTCACAGGTACTCAGCACAGAGTGGTAAATAACACAGACAGGTGCACACCTTTCCAAAGGGGACTAAACAGCAAGGACATTGTGGCATGTAAACGATTTAATTATAATTGAAAAGCAGACATTGTTGGGTTAGTATGTCCCTGGACATACTAGTGAGCTAGATCCTTCTTTAAACCCTAGTTCTCTGCCTCTCTTGAATCCAAAGTAAAATTTCAGAAGCAAAGAAGTTTGTATTAATATTCCAGAGGCCCTTTAGAAAAAGAAAACTTTATGATTTCAGCAGGATTAAACCTTTATCAGGCATTTTGAAAGAATACTGTGATCTTATAGCCATTTTTGACTAGTATAGTCCTATGATGAGGTAATAAGAATGTGAACAGAAATAGATTGGAAGTGTTGTTGAAGTATTAAAAAGACTTTACAATATCTTTCAGATGTGGCATGTTCATGAGATAGAATACTGCTCAGCAATGTAAAGGGAAAATTTCAATGCATAACAACATAGATTCATCTCCCAAATGTGGGCTTAAAGAAGCTAAACATAAAAGAATACATTGTGAATTATTCCTTTTATGTGAAATTCTAGAATATGCAGAAGTAATCTATGGTGACAGATCAGTATAGGAGTTGCCTCTTGGTGGCAGTATGGAAATAGATTGGAAAGAGGTCCGTGAGAACTTTCTGTGATGTTGAAAATGTGCTGTCTCTTGGCTTGGGAGTGTGTTACCATTTGTCAGAACTCATTACCTGGTTAAGATCATAGTATAAGTGAAAATAAATCTTTTAAATATGATATTAAATTGTGGACATGAGTATCATAATCACTAAATCATAGATCCCACATTCTTAAACAATTGCAGATTAGAAGGAGACTTTTAAAATTATGTTTGTGATCTGAAAGTTAGAGGAAGAATTGTAAGTTTTTAATTCAGTCTGCATGAATGACAAGGCATTCGGTGATTACCGCAGCCCGCACCCCACAGAGAGTGTGCCACAAGAATCACTGTCTGAGCTGCTTGTCCCAGCAAGCCTCATCAAAATGGCAAGCAGGTTGAGAACACAAAGAGACAGTGGCTTTTAAATCTCATTTGAAGGAGAGAATATCAGAAGATAACCTTTCTTGAAAAATTTTTTGAAAAGAATGCTTAGAGCTAAGATGGTAATGCACAGTAGGTTGGCATGAAAACTCTGGGCTAGAAAATAGTTGGATACTGAGTGCACGTAGAATGCTGGGGTGGCACGCACATTGTTAGGACAAAGGAAGCCTCTTGCAGGGAGAGTGGGACTCTGGGGAGGGGTGTGGTCTGTAGCCAGAGAGCACACAGCCAAAGTGCTGGGAGCTGCAGTGGGAGAGGGCTGCCCTGTCCCTGACTCAAGTATCCAACTGCTGAGCAGGTGCCAGAGCCGGCCCCTGGGGACAACAGCAAGGGGCTCGGCCTCACCTGTTTGGTCTCTGTGCATGAAAGCCAGTAATCCATACTTAACACTACCATCTTCTGTGTTTAAAATGATAGCTGGATTTATTATATTTATGTTGAGCATATTTAAAAAATCAATAGTGATCTACTTTATATTTACAGAAAAATAGTGATATGTGTATATTCATTTGGGGCAAACAAATGTAAATTTTTAGTTAATGCTACCTAATTTACCCAGTGATGCTCATGTTTAATGTGTGTATGTTCATGATATATAAATTTCTTGTTCTTAATTTCAGGAGATACAACAGCGGCACGGATTAGCCAATTCCATTTCTTCCTACCTTATTAAACCAGTTCAGCGAATAACAAAGTATCAACTCCTTTTGAAAGTATGTATGAAGCTTGGTAGTTAAAGCAGAATGTTACAGATTGTGCCTTATTTTGACGTTTCTTCCTCTCTATTCATGTAAAGTACCCCAAATTTTTTAACACCTAGAAAATTAATTTCATTTTTTGAGTCATTGCCATATATTACCCTGACCCATCTCTGAGTGCAGCAAGTAAATAAGAGTATATTCATTGATTATGGAACTAAACTTCACTGACTGTCCGTACGTAGCCTCTAACATAAACTGTGAAAGGGAGGAGGGATTGTCAGCCCTGGGCGGTTTAGTGCCTGTGCTCCAGTAAGGCTTCTGACCGTGGGTCAGGCACTGTGCCGCATGTTTTGACTATATTCGGTTAACACCACAACACTGCTAGTGTGCAGGTGTGGAAACCAGCCTCTGAAGGTGGGGAGGTGGCTGGAATCATCACTACATCCCTGTTCTCTGGCCTTGGCTCTAAACCCAGAGGAGGCTGGCGCCCAGGTTTTCTGCCACATCCGTGAAGCACTCGCCCTCCAGCAGTTCCTGCCGGCACTTTCTGGTCATGTGTCATGTGCATGTTTGTGGACTGTAAATACATGCAAACCCCAAGTATTTGAGTCAGACTGACCTCTACTTTTTCTTGGTTATGAATGATTATAATTAAAATCATACTGTAACTATGTGTGCTGACAGGTGTTAACTAGACTTTGGTGATCGTTTTGCAATATGTATAAAAATCATGTTGTACACCTGAAACTAATGTTAATTTTACTTGAATGAAAAAGAAAATCACACTTGTAAAAATCTAACAACTAGTCTTGACAATAGAATGGTAAAGGAAACTTAGAATTGGTGATAGTTGTCACAGAACACGTTATATATCATCTACACACATTTCCTGACTACAAGAACAATAAGTTACAACTTCTATCTGATGTTTACCCTACTGTTTCCTTGGCTGAGGGATGTTACTAAGCATTAGATTGAATGTCTCAACCATCCACTCATCCCGATAACAGTATTTTATGAACCCGACAGAGTCCGCAGCGCTGCCCTGACACAGCAATAGCAGGTGGAGATGTAATTTTTCTAGGTAAAAAAGGAATTCAGTAGATGGAGTTAGGAATGCCTGAAACTCTTCTTTACTCTTTACCATTAAAAAATATCTAGAAACATAAGAGGTGGCTACATTCTTTCATGGCAGTGATACCATCCTGGGACTTTACTATTGGAAAGGCTCTCTGGCACTTCTATGTCAGGGTCCCAGTAAGCGATTTTATGATTTTATGCAGAAATATGTGGTTGCTACAAACATGAAACAGAAGCTAGGAGGTTAAGTTGTTCATATTCACATTTGCCCTTTGCTTTGAAATTCTGAAATGTCAGTTTACCTCCTGGAGTCACCAAGCTGTAAAGGTTTTGTTTTTATTAGCATGTGGTTCTACTAAAGATTTCTCCTCAGTGACCTCTCACCTCATCAGTCACTATTGAACTGGTACTTTAATTTATAACCTTTATGCCCAGAGGTACTTCAGGTGACCAGTAATAAACTATGTCGAGCTCCCAGCAAAGTTTTCTGCCAGGGAAATTAGTCTCTGTACATTGCATTTTTAAAGCACTTTTTGCCAGGCTACTCAGAATAGTAGATAAACTCCACTGAGTCCTGAGCAAAGGTGCTCACCAAGTAGCTGACTTGCTCTAGACCATCCAGGGTGAGACCAGAGCTAACTATAGTGTTATTTCCCCCTTTCATTGAATACTGGTCTCAAAAAGCTGTTGCTGCTGTTCTGATTGATAATAATAATCATCCATACACTGGTAAGGAAATATCTTGGAACCTACCAGAATGTGAATTTGTTGTCCCTGCCATTATTCTTTTGATGACCCATGTTCCTGTAGGTAGATCTAAGGTATAGTCACATCCAGGGAGGTGTGCTTCAATCATTAGCATTCTCTGAACATCCTACACCAGAGGTACTCATGCTGTGGGGAAGTTCCAGGCTGGGTGGGGCATGGCACAATGGCCTGAGATGCTAACCATGCTGGCTTCCTGTGGGGAGCAGAGCAGCAGTAGGTGGCCTCTGCTATGACCTATAGCCAGCTATGCTTTGCTAATGAATGAAATATGTCTGTCGTTTTTGAGGCTTGGTAGTTAACATGTACACTGATTGCATATTAAACTGTCACTCCATCTGGTTTACTGTGATATGAAGAAACACTCTGATTTGAGCAGGACAAACCCTTCCATCCCCCAGATAAAGAGGCAGCAATTCATTTTCTATGCGAATATATGCCCAGCTGACCGCAGTCTGTGTTTATCTTGAAAATCGTGGATTTTCATAGACTTCAGTTCTACAAATATCTTGTTGGCCAAGTGTTTCGCAGCCTTCGGCTAGTTCTTGGTCTTGGTCTTCCGCAGGAGCTCCTCACATGCTGTGAGGAGGGGAAGGGGGAGATTAAGGACGGCCTAGAGGTGATGCTCAGCGTGCCGAAGCGAGCCAACGACGCCATGCACCTCAGCATGCTGGAAGGTAACCGACTGCATGTCTCCTACCTGGAGTTTGTTCGCTCCCTACTCACACTGGTTGTAAGTGGACCTCCTGTGCCCTCAGAATTTCAGCATCATGCCTCTAGGTTTGATTAGGTGGTAAGAATTTAGATGTGAATGCCTTCTATTTGAAAAATTGGTTCCACTGCTTCCTTAAGGATCATGAAATGCTTCAACCCATCCTGTCTCTTATCTGGAGAGTGGCTTCTCCACACGCTGAACCCCAATAGCACCTTGTGTCATGTGTCTTAGGCAACCTGGTGTCTGTGTTGGATGGATGGGTGGAAGGAAGGGTAGCTCGATCCTGCATGAAGATAAAATCCTTAAAAGAGCTTGTTGCTTCCCCATCTCTGTATCTGTTGTATCTCTTGCTAGAGCCTTGAACACAGCAGGTACCCACAGACTGAGTATGAGTATAACACTGTTAAGAAGAGAATCAGATACATACACTTAAAAATTAGTGTCGCAAGTATAATTTCCATGAATGTTTCTGTGTTACAGAGCTTAACTCTTACTGCCAGGTCACACAGAATTACTTACAACAGTAATCCTGCCCCAGATGCTGTTGCTAGCCTGTATCACAGGCTTTGCCTTAACTACTACTACTGAGGTATAGTAGTTAAGGCAAAGGTGCTTTTGTAACAGAAACCCCAAATCGGGCCAAGCAAGAGAGCATTTTTCCTTCTCTGATGTAAAATCCAGAGCTGGTGCAGTGGCCCTTTGGGACGTCTTTAAGGCCTCAGGCTCTGTTCCTTCCAATTTCTGTGCATTCCTTGGATGTTGGCTGGGTTCAGGATGTGTCAAGGCCATGTTGGCATTCCATCTAGCAAGAAGAAAGTGGGGAAGGAGGGGGAGGGAGGGAACAACTAGAAAGGCAGAAACTGAAGCCTAACCGTGACGCCCCCACGCGGCAGGAAGCAGGTGTACAGCTTCTAAGGAGCGGGCAGATGGAGCGCATATTGCAGCAGCTGCATCAGCTGTGGAGAAGATGGGGCAAAAGGAAGGTGGGAAATAAGATAGCAGCCGCTACCCCAGGCATCTTGCCACTTGTCCAGGCCTGGCAGCTTTAAGGCCACACAGTGGGCCACTTCCCCACAGAGGAGCAGCAGGGAAGGCCAGCAGTGGCCAGAGCGGGAGGGATTCGCATGAAGCATTTTGCATCCATGGAAGAGCCATTTCCTGAGGACATATCTGTCTCCCAGGAGGAAGACCAGGCCAGGACCGTGAAGGCAGAAAAGCTGGGCTGTGACTGCATATCTGGGAGGGGTGTTCTGGGCTGAGGAAGCAGGTGTCAGGACTCAGGCTGGGAGGCCTTGGGGAGGCGGGGGAGGCCTGATGCTGGAATGCTGCTGGCCAGGAGTCGGGCGTTCAAGGAGGTCTCAGGTGGTGGGAATGCCACCCTGAGGAGCAAGAACTGAGGAATGAAGCCAGAGGGGACCACTGTTTTAGGAAGAATTATTTTATTCAACAGGTCAGTGCTAGGGAGACTGGAGATGGGAGTCTGGATGGGAAACCCACGTGAGAGTTCCCTAGTGGGCATTTCACAAGTGCTTAAGTAGTCATAATGCTGATTTGTTCATCATTATTTATTTCCTTTTGAATTGATTGTGCCTCCTCCTTTTCATGTTGCAGGATTTGATGAAAATATTGAGTCTCAGGGAGAGCTCATCCTGCAGGAATCCTTCCAAGTGTGGGACCCAAAAACCTTAATTCGAAAGGGTCGAGAGCGGCATCTCTTCCTTTTTGAAATGTCCTTAGTATTTAGTAAAGAAGTGAAAGATTCCAGTGGGAGAAGCAAGTACCTTTATAAAAGCAAATTGTTTGTAAGTATAGGCGTTCAGAATTGTTCAGTTTAAAGGTAATATGATTGCAGCTTTTTTGTAGGTAGAGAAAAATCACTGTTGGTTGCCCCCAGCTTAACGTCCCAAACTACCCTAAAATATGAAAGACTGAAATGGTCGTGTCTTCATCTTCCTCACTGAAGGTCCCCGTCAGCCTGGAATCCACTAGAGGGCACTCAGGAGCTGGAGTGTCATGACACTGGAAACTTGCTTTTTCTAAATTCCATAGAATCTAATTGCAGGATAAGAAAACACTTTCTGAGTTTAAAGAATTTGTTTCCTATGTGCCTTAGCTAGCTTTATACACACATTAATCATGTCAGACTATGAGTAAGTATCATATCATAATAATTAATTTTTCATTCACCAACATTGGAATATATCAGGCAGCCTTAGGCTCACTGTGGGTCCTTAATGATGAAGTTTAATTATTTTCATTAAAAATAATTTATGGATTTAAATAAGCAAATTAACATTGACCTAGAACTACCATTTAGTCTTCAGATCCTACACAGATTCTACCCATTGTCCCAACGATGTCCTTTCTAGCAAATGGATCTAGGTTTTTGGGTGTGTCTCATTTGTCATACTTATTTCAATCTCTTTCAGGATAAAATAGTTCCTCAGCCTCTCTTAACCTTAAATCAATTTACGGATATATAAATTTATGGTTCTTTATAGTAGTAAAATATGATTGTTAGAGAAAATTAATGTAAGCAAAAAATAAAGTTTCAAGATCCATACTCCACCTATCTGGAGACAGCCACCCTGCTTACTTAATAGATACAGTGATGCATTTGAATTACTGAACATGTCAGTGTATTTCCTGGCAAGGAAAGCATACAGGGCACCTTTTTTTCAAGCCCAAGCAGCCTCTTTATAAATCCATGTCGACTCAGAAGTCTTGGGCAAATGTGCTCCTCCAGCTCCACTGTGCCTCCATCTGCCCTTGGTAGGAGGGTCTCAGAAAGCTGCCAACAAAATTGCTGAGGTTCTGGCAGGGAGAGAATTGGGCAAATCTAAGGAAAAATTACCATCAGAGAATAGAAAATGTAGTAGGATTCAGTTTCTTCCTTGCACAGGATTGCTTATACATATTGGTAGGTATTTGGAATTTGGACAATTGATACATTATACATTTTTATAGTATCCATATGTTAATCAAATTCCCAAAGTTATAAAATACAGCCACGAATAGAAATCATCTTAATGATCATCTGGAAATCGCCCATTCAAACTCATGATTTTCATGCCATTTTCTTTGGCTTATGTCCTGTTTGAGATTGTCTCTTGGATCACAGCCTGCCTTACATCATTTTAGATCATACTCTGACTCAAAAAATGCAGCATTGCTGGCTAGTAATTTCCCTAGCTGGCCTTAATCTATCCTTAGAGACCAGGTTGGTCTGTCTGAGAAGCAATGCATCTTCACTTAATTTATCTTTTAAAAGTTAAGGTTCCCACAGAGGCCACAATTATGAATTGCTTCCTTTGCTAGAGTGAGGAGAGTACATCAGGGGTGGACTTAGTTGTGGGGGAGGGAATGAGAGTGTTGACCTTCATCTGCACTCTGCCATGTTCTGTGTGTTGCGGCTGCATATGTTAAAGAGGGAACTTCTATCTCTTAGCCATTAAAATTGGTGAAATACTAAAAGTTAATGCTGTTGATAAATTAGAAAATAATTGAGCTGTTAAAATGTCATTTGGCTTCTGTGAAGCTACTTCATTAATGCTAAAAATTACATGGAGCCTCTTTCGCAGCTGAGACAGACTCATTTTGTTGTTTATAAGTTTCAAAATAGTCAACCCTGATATTCCAGATAACAGCGTTTTCAGTTAGTTTGGTCTCTTTCCTCTGCTTACTGACCTGCATCAGGATCTGCAGGAGGTGCTCAGAGGAAGTGAAAGAGATGGTACCAACCATGTGCGCATGTGACTAAAATGAGATCTCAGGACTGTCAATGTAAACAAACTATATTGTTAAAACCTAGCATTACCGCAAGTCACTGAGAACGGTTTTCTTGGTCTGTATTTTATATCCTGCCAGAATTTTACTGTTGCCTAACTATGTAATTGTCTTTTATTCCAGACCTCAGAGTTGGGTGTCACAGAACATGTTGAAGGAGATGCTTGCAAATTTGCACTGTGGGTAGGGAGGACGCCAACTTCCGATAACAAAATTGTCCTTAAGGTATGTTCATTTAAAGCTTGGAAATGTGCTGTGTGACAAGTTTATCATGGCTGTGTAGGCTTTTTTTTTTTTCTGTTTTAAAACAATACTGGTTTTCAGATCATTTTTGTTGTTCCCTTTGTGTTCTGTTGGAATTGGTGTTTACTACAAAAAGAATAATGGAATAAACTCAGTTTGATATTCTAGTGATGAAATAGCTTGAGCTAAACTTCTGCTTGTCACTAGAAGATCAAATAGAGAAGGCCTTTTTAAACTTCTTCCATCCTTCCAGTCTTAAAAAAGAATTAGTTGATACCATAAGAGATGCGGTTGAGGTCTGGAATAGACTGACAGTTCCCACTGAGTGCAGGATCTGTTTTCCCAAGGAAAATAGGCACCTGATGAGTCTGAGGGCCTTTCACGGTTTCAAGGCCAGGACCACCAGTACCATGCCAAGGCTGAACATGGGGTCCTAGGCTCTTCGGCTTTCTAGTTTGGGGGCAGAGAAATAAGAGGGCTAATTATCAGCTGCCAGGTTTGATAATGTTATGATTTAAAGTGTTCAAAAACACCACGGGTGCTTTGGGTATATATCTTTGGGGGAGGAAAATATCTTTGAATATTTGATTTGAACTCTGTTTTGATTATACTAGCCTCCCCTAGGAATGACAGAGGGCTCTCAGGATGTCTTGCCTACCTCCCTCCTTCTGTGTTTGAGAAAATACAGATGGAACTCTATTTTTGAGCTGTCTGGAAAGACCATAAAGCAGCTTCAGGGTGTTTTGGGGAAGATGTAGCTAAAGATTTGTAGAATATTGGGAGAGGAGCCAAAAACGTAATGGGATTCTGCTCTGTGAACTTGCATGCCAGCAATTTTTTGTCTCTTGCATTCCTTTTCTTTTCCCTATGGTATTTTCAGCAACTCTGAGTTATTCATCCATATGTCAGCCCTTTAGAGCTTGTACTTTACTGACCACTGACTGTGGAAGCCATCATGTTTCTTAGGCCTTTGTTCACACGGGAATGATGGATTGTTTTTCAGTGAACATATCATTACCAACCAGTGTGTTCCTGTTAGTACTGGCATTAACGCTCTATACAATATAAATTGCACTGATAGATAAATATTAAATAACTGAACTTTTCTAAGGTATATAATTTTAAAGCATACTCAAGACCTTAAAATTTCCAACTTTTATAAAGTATTTACTCAGATTATCTGCAGTGACAGATGCCCAAGGGTGCGTCTAAAAAATAGCACCAGGCATTTTAGCCATATACGGACTGATTTTTATGTAAGGCATAATAAAATACCCATGATGCCACTGCAAAATAAAACTTCCTGCAGACTTTTGCAAGTGAGAGTTTTCTAGGGCATTGGGGGGATTTTTTTCTGACGACCAAGGAAATGATGTCCTCATTTAATTTCAGAGATTGCTTTGGCGTGATGGTCACGGTCACAGTGGAGATGGAGGAAGTGGTGGATATCATGGTACTGGTGGTCCTGGCAGAGATATGCCGGCCCAGTAATTATAAAGCAAACCTCTTGGTTGTTGTTGTTGTTGTTGTTGTTTTTACTTTAAGGGCTGAAAAAGAGAACTTTATTTCTAAATCTTTCCTTAAACAGATTGTGACTGCCAAAAATATGAAATAAGTTATTCCCTTCTCTTAGCTAAGTGGGACCTTTTCTAAGTACTTTAGCTGGCTTCTCTTCCTCCTACTGTTCCTGAAAAATTGTCTCCTATTTCTCTCATTTCATTTCTTTAAGGTTAGAAGAATTACTCTTCATAAATGTAATGATTAGTTCACTCCATTTAAATCACAAGACTTTTCTTTATTTGTGAACTATAGCAACAGTTTTCCTTAGTTGTCTCCTTTCTCTTCCCCAACCTTAACATTCGTATCAGGTATTTAAATTCTAATCCACCTGTAATTTTCATAGTTTTCCATCCTGAGATAGTTTAATCTCATGTCCCAACTCTCCCAAATCACCCCCTTCTTCCCCAGAGAGATTTGGATTACCGCCTCCTGGTGGATGGGGGCCAGAGACTCTTCTCACCCTTATTTAGCCCCCCACCACCACCCTTAAATCACAAAGGCACATCCTCCAGTCCAAACATTTTATGTAGAAAAAGATTCTGAGTTGTAATTTCCTCTCCCAACACAGGCTTTAGCTTTCTACTTTAAAAACAAGGTACAGTGGGAGGCAATGTTGGGTCCCCTCCCTTCATGAGCTCATCTGCAATCCCACTGACAACTTTTATGAATTTGCAGGGAATTATACTTATATCATAGGAGGTTGATGTTTTCCATTAGGAAATTAAAAACTATTAGTAAGGCCCAGAATATGTTTAAAAAAGAAAAAAACTCCTGTAAGGCAGTAAAAGAAATCTGGAAAAAGTGATGCACTATGTGTTCATTCAACAAATGCTTACTGAGTATCTACCATGTGCCATTTTCAGGGACCATTTTTGCAAAATTGCAGTGGGATTGAGGAAAATGCACCCCATGTAATTGGCAGGAGATCAGCTGGTCTACACTGGTGAAGTAAGGGGTGGGTGAGGGCAGAGCTCTCGAGGACCAGCTCAGGTGTCGCTCCCTGGATTCTGGCTGCTCCCGCTGCAAGCAGGGTGGCCTAGGGTACATTCTGATGTGTGCATGCTGCAGTTCCTCATTTATAACTCGGGGATCGGGGAGGCCCGGCTCCACAGAGTGCTGGAGAATGAGAGGGGCACAGCAGGGAGGGGCAGCACAGCTGCTGTTCCTGCAGTCAAGGGGACGAGGCAGCAAGATGGGTGGGCGAGGCAGCAAGACGGGTGGGCGTTAGTTCCGGTCAGTCCCTGCTGTCACCTCACCTGCCACCGGCCACTTCTCTTGGGGGCGAATAGCCTCAAAGGTTCTTTGGTTTGGGGGTGGCTTCGTGCTTGTATTTACCCAGAGCTGCTTTAAAGGTCTTAGGACTGGGGAATGATTGGTTATTAGAATATAATATCCAGAGATCTGGAAAAATATATAGGCTATAAAATAAAAATAGTTTTGATGAAAAAATATTCAAAATTATTTGGAGGCAAGTTAAACATAGAATGAATGTGGTTGCTTTGCTGCTGAAAAGTTATTTTTAAAATGGGAAAATCAAGGAGTGCATCAGATCTGAGTGTCACTCAGGTTCTAGAAAGGCCCCTTCTGTCTCCTGATGGATTCTAACACCTTGTTAAGGCTTCCAGCATAGAAAACAAGCAGGACTGGATAAAGCACATCCGTGAGGTGATTCAGGAACGGACCATCCATCTCAAAGGAGCCCTGAAGGAGCCCATTCACATTCCCAAAACCACTCCTGCAACAAGACAGAAGGGAAGGAGGTGAGTGCTTGGTGGGGGGAGGGTGGCAAGTCTGCTCATTTAATAGGGAGGAAACGGGAAATGTTAACTTACTGCTTTGCAAAGTCATTTTTCTCAGATATTTTGAGGAATGTGGTCTTTTAAAATACACTCATATATAACATCATTCTTAGTAATGAAATCACTCTGTCCAAACAAGAACCTCCTTTGGCATAATGCAAACGAAGGGCTCTATGCAGGTCCCTAATCATTTTCCCTTTGCCACCCCCAGGTGTGAGTCTGTGCACATGTATCTCATGCTGTGACCTTGGACAGTTACAGCACACCTAGATGTTTTGTTTCTCAGTCATGCAGCAGAACTAATGATACCCGCTGTATCTATTATTGTGAGAACTAAACATGGTACCATGTGCTAGATCCTTAGCCTGTGCCCAGTAGAGGGTGACCTGCTATCTTTAATGTGGGGGTGGCAGCAGCAATCATGGAGACTGATTAGCACCTCTTCTAGCAAATCTGTTTCTCCAGTGACTGGTAGATGATTTCCTCAGTCTTGAAAAGCAAATCCAGCCATGTCAGAAATTAAAAGTTCCTTTGTTTTCCAGGGATGGAGAGGATCTGGATAGCCAAGGCGATGGCAGCAGCCAGCCTGATACAATTTCTATTGCCTCCCGGACGTCTCAGAACACACTGGACAGCGATAAGGTAACCAGCACTCTCTTTGGGGAGGAGAATGTAGCTAGTCTCTGGTCTGATAGGAAGCAGCCTGTTTCTATCTACAAATGACAGTTTGCCATCAACATTGTCCAACAGTCATTGTGCGCTAACAGTGGTGGCAGGACATGGAAGCACGTGGTGTCAGATTCAGAAAACAGCAGTGCCATTATTTAATTTTCTATCAGAATGTTCTAGGGCAGTGTGTTTCAGCTTTTTTACTTTATATTAAGCAAAGAAACTTACTATTTTAAATTAGATCTCGCCCAGAGCCCTGATGCATAGCAGCAGAGATGCTCTGATGGCTCAGGATGAGCAGCATCCTCTACTGGCCCTGCAGCTGCTCCTCAGAGTACAGGGGCCACAGAGCACGGAGGGCTCACTGCAACACACACCCTTGCCCACGCTGGCCACTAGGAATGTAAGTCCGCTTTAGGTCACAGGGTCTATGTAGGTGTGCCTTCTACAGGAGTGGCCTGGAGTATCCCGTGATTCTGTCTTGATAGAATCCAAAAAACCTATAAAATAAATTGACAGGAGATTTGGGAATCTGGGCTTGCATGATGCACAAATGCCCAAAGTCTTCTGTAAAAGCCAGAGGGGGGCATTCCATCTTCACAAAGCCTTCTGTCCCTACTGAGATGAGCACCTGTTATTTTCTGTTTCTAAAATGCTCTACCAAGTTCTCCAAAAAAGTTACCTGACAGTAAGTAGGCGGCAGCTCTAACATGCCGTCAGTTCGGGATTCTGAGGGTCCTCACTGTCTGAGGCTGTGCTTCCCTGCCCAAGGCCCGGCCGCCCAGGAGTCTGCTCTCACAGCACCTCTGCAGCCCACTCAGGCAGGGGAGAAGGGTCAATGCCTCCCTGCCCTGGGAATGTCTGCTGCCACAGGGAGCCTGGTGTCTGGGGGCGGGAGTGGATTTCAGATGCCGAGTCTTACAGTTCTGACATTGGTCTTTTCAGCACTTGTTTGGTGTTTAATGCAGTTTACAGACTAAGTCGGTTTGAAAAAAAAAAAGTGCTTTCCTATCCTGATTTCATTTTCAAAATCCTTCTAGTTTGAGAAATTTGTTTTTTTCTCATTCTACTTTTTGCATTCACTAAATATTAAATCCTAGAATGCTTAGAGTAATAAGAATAAAGAATAAAAGCAAGGCCTCATTTTATTTTGTTCAGAGCACAGCATATTAGCATTCATCATATTTCTTGCCAGTAGTAATAATGAGGAATAAGAGAAATGAGTTTTTCAGGCATTTGGTGCCTAATAGCATCTCCCTGTGGCCCCACCCCATGGCCATTTAGTTAAGGAAATTAAATTTTACTTGGAAACACTTTATTAGATTAATTTTGATTATTTTCTTTAAAAAAAAATACTAGAGTGATCGAGTTACTACTCAAGACTTCCACCTGAAGGCAGAGCGGAAACTAATACAAGCCTGCCCTCCTTCAGGCTGGTTCAGACTCATGGTGTTCGAGCATCGCCACTCCAGCTGGGGATCCGTGAGGCCCCAAATTTACATTCTCACCAGATATATTCTCATGGATCTGATCTGGGTTTACCCTGGAAATGAGTTTAAAAGTTAATTTTTTTAAATGTTATTTGAATGAAATTACCAGAGATAAACATACAGAGTTGTGCCATTTAGAAAGTATGTTAAGACTTCTGTGAAGACTGGTCCAGGAAGAAAGGGGACTCTTTCTTCAGGTGGTTGATGCACAAATGGGTGGTGATGGAAGTCGGGAAACACCCCCCACCAGATCTAGGAAGGGGCTTCCAACCCCAGTTCCCCAGCCTGCCTTGTGCTGTGTAGAGAATTCGTGTGGCAGCGTCCATTGCCACCCTGGTCTCCTGACGTCTGGCTGTCTGGAATTCACAAGAGGTTTGCCACAGAAAATGAGGCTTTATCCTGGAGTTCAGAATTATGTGAGTTGTTTTACTTTGGATCTATTACAGCATAATAGGCCTGTATGAACTTGGATCTGTGCCCACCCGACTCCTACAGAAAAATAAGACCTTATCCCAAGGGCCATTGCTATTGAGACAGCAAATTCTATTTGTGCCCAATGAGAGGGGAAGAATAAATCATGAACAGAAAAGCATACATTTGCAGAAATTAATCATTTTACCCTGGGAGTGTACTGGGATAGTACGACTTTTAAAGAACTTCTGTTAAATATTTTATCTGTGGAGTAATTCACCAATTTCTGTTTACCTCATTTAAGGCGTTGCCGCCTCACTTCATTCCATAGCTCAGAAACCCCTAGGGCCACTTCTGTGAGTGTAGCCCCCTCCCCTGCGTCACAGAGGCTCGCTCTGACACCTCTGGGTGAAGCTCTGGGGACAGGTTCCTGCTCAGCAGTGCCAGCCTGCTGGTCTTATGATTGCTGACCTTCTCGAAGTAGCAACTCCCCCTAACTCAGTTTTTTCAGTGGATGTGGCATGCATTTCCTTTAACATGCTCCTCCCTGGGATCAGATCAGAGGTCCCCAGCAGGCTCAGAAGTACAGAAAAGGGATGAAGCATCCTCTGAGACTGCAGAGCTGCAAGGGGTTATCTTCAGTTCTGTGGAATCTGCATTTGCAATGAGCATAAACAGCATGTGATACTTAATAAAGATAGGTCAGAATCTGGAGTTTGGAGAGGATGTAAGCATGAGGCCTTATAAAAAAGCAGGCACATGTTGGCTAGCTCACAGATGCCTGCATTGGTGTGTTCTCTGCTTTTGCAACATTTTCTCTTAGCCATCTCCCTCGTTGTACTTCTCCGATAGAACATTTTGGGGTCCCTAGATGATTCAGAAGACATCGGGCATTAAGAAAGTGCATCCTTTTCTGAGTCAGTTTGTGAAATGAACTGCTTCTCTGAAATCAGCTTAGCCAGAAAACCCCTTATCTCTGATGGCAGTCTTGAGCTTCTCTTCACCCTGCATATTTCAAATTTAAATAGCCTCTGATGACACAGGCAGATAGATCTGGCAAGGGAAATTACTTAACCATGGTCTGCCTGTTTGACTTAATTTATGATGTCTGTTATGAGTTAGTTATCATGGAGTTTGGTTCTATTTCAGAAACTGGGTGGGGGATGTTGACTTGGCCTCTTGGAGAATTCTTAAGAAGTATCTGCCTAGTGCTGTAGGAATTCTCCAGTGAGGCTTGGGAGCTTTGGAAGGGTCTGGTAAGGAGAGCTCCCGGAGATGCCCTCTTTCCAGGGAGCACTGTCAGCAGAGCTGAGAAACCACATGCCCACGAGCACATTTCCTTCTTTGAAACCATCAGTTTTAAGATATGCCATCTCTTTGCTCCAAAAGTAAGTTTAGCACCAATTCTTGCATATTCAGGGTAGTTATGCTGATAAAATGATCTTACGAAAATGTAACTGGGTTCCAGAGAAATCAGCAGTGTGCCAGGTTTTTATCTCCTCTGTCCTAGGCTTGTCTCCCTGTGGTAGGAAGGACACTGCCCCACCGGCCTTGGGGGCCCAGAGGAGATGGGACAGAGGACCCTTGCAGGGCCACCCAGCAGCAGGGAGCTAAAGCCAGAAACGGAATGTGGGTTTAATTACTTGTCCATGTCTAGACCCTATTGTTTCATACTAGATCTGAGTATGGAGCTAAATATTAGTATACTAAGCATTTTAAACCTTTTTGCCTTCTATCTGCCTTATTAGTCTATGGCTCATTTCATATAACAAAAATATATAAGGAAAATAGAAAATATGGTTATCTGTAGGCGACTACAGAACAAAGCATCCTGAGATGAAAGTGAAAGAAGTCACCGAGGCAGAACGAGGCACCGGTGGGAAAGCCGGCCCACGCCTCCAGGGGCCGGGCGCCAGTGCACTGCGGGCACAGGCCGTGCTTGCTTGTAATGAGTGGGAGACTCATGGAGACTGATATTTGGCATGAACTGTCCTAAGCTTTCAACATGAATATGTGATCCACATATTCAAGCAAAAGATGATTTCAGGTACTCTTTAAGTCCAGCACTATTTGGGGATATGAGATTCGACATAGTTTAAAAAGGCCACTGACTTCCTCTGAAGCAACTTTCTACACTATAGGAACTTTGTTGGATTCACATGAATTGTAGCACTGAGGCATATAAAATAGCCCATGGTGATACATTGAGAAATATGGCTGAAGAAAGGAAATTTGGCGCCCAGCCTGGGCCAGAAATGCGCCACTTCCATTCAGCCCACATCCCATGGCCACACAGGGCAGCCCTGCCCAAGAAAGGTGAGCCTGCCTCAGCCCGAGCAGCCCTTGCAGAAGAGGAGGCACCCACCCTGCGGGCCTTGCCAGAGCTCAGAGGCTTCAGGACCTCAGTAGATCTGCCCCTACGTAGGTGTGAAGTTGAGTTGTTCAGTCCAGAAGCTTTTCTTGGGGATGGCCCGTCGTTTTAACCTCCTCAGACAGAGTGCTCCAGATGCCTGCTGAGCTCTGACGCTGCTCGGCCTGTCAGGGTAGTTGCAGAGTGTTGGACATCAAATAGCAGGTGGTTAAGAACAAGGAAGGGCTCACCAGCCAGACATCTGGGATGTGTGCTGAGCAGCCTTAGAAAGTTCCTTCACCTCTCTGTGCCTCAGTTTCCTCCTCTGTAAGTAAGGACAGTACTATAATCACTCACAGGGCTGTGAGCATTACAAATGTGTAATGTGTTTAGAGCAGTGCCGAGCATGAACTAAGCACTTAAATATTAGCTATTGCTGCATCTTCATTTTAATAATCACTGCTTCTCCCTCAGTTGAGCTGCTGACGGTCATTGCTAGCTGCTGGAGCTCACTGTCTGTATCGGTCTCTCTCCGTAGTATTTGGGCACTCTCCACTGCAGTGGGGTCGGAAGCTAATTGTGTTCATTAGGAGCAGTAGCTGTCCTAAGGATAAATTGCTCAGCATTAGGCCCTGAATTTAAACAGCAAAACGCTGACTACATATTGAACAGGCAGTCACTGAAAATGAGGCAGGCTCCTGCTCACAGCATCTGTCCAGCTG